AGCCCCGCATCGGGCTCCCTGCTCAGCGGGAAGCCTGCTTCTCCCTCTCCCACTCCCCGCTGCCTGTGTTCCCTCTCTCGCTGTGTCTCTGTCAAATAAATAAATAACATCTTAAAAAAAACTTTAAAAAAATAAAATATTAAAAAATTAAAAAAGAAAAGAGAAAATATAAAAAACTTATTAAGAATCACAGAGTCTCAAAAATGCAACGCCAGCGATCTCTGACCTTTCAAATAGTAAAGCCATTCTTTTAAGGAAGACACGTCCTGATGGCCATTCTAGAAAGACATCAGTGTGACTGACAAGCCCAGTTCCAGAGACCACTGAAGTAGACTATTTGAAAATAGACTCAAAAACAAGGCAAAAAAAAAAAAAAAGAAAGAGGCAGGAGAGCTTCCCTGCCTGGGAATGAAAAGGAAAGCACCCCCCTTTGAACAGGGGTCTCCGTGTTACGAGTGATGTTGTCTTTCTGACAATGGCGGTGGATAGGGGAGCTTCATTTTCTCTCTATACCGCTCATGTTTTTATTCTAGTCACTGAAACTATTAAAAAGTTGCACAAGATTTCCCTTTGTTCATTGATTTAATAAACCTTTTAAACACCTGCTATGCGCTAGGCACCATTTTGGGGGAGTTCCGACATGACTACGTCATAGTCTCAAGGGGTTTGCCGTCCAATGTGGGAGACCCACAGATACAACACAAGAGGACACGACTTACACAAGGGATCCTCGCAGAAAAATGGCTCTATCCAATCATTCTCGCCACTTCCCTCTCCACAAGGGAATAAGGAAAACCTTAGGACAGACAACCCGTGTGAGGAGGGAAGGACGGCAACCAAACACACGGTTCCAGGCTCGGCAACCAGCACGTCATTAAAAGTGACCCACACCACACACCAGGCCCCCTCCCGCACAGACCGTGCCTCCTTTTCTCTACTTTTCACTCCCCCTCTCACATGCTTTGTTATCTGGAGGACTGTCTGCAACTTCCAATATGGGGAATCCCACAGAGTTTTCTAGGAAGTTAAAACCGTGAGTCAGCTAAGCTCTGATAACTTCGGCTGTAGCTCCCCGTGAAGCCACCCAAGGGTAAGAGCCCACATGCTGCATTCGGTTCGCGCTGGAAGCCGTCCCTCCATCTGCTTACCACGTGTGTTGGTCGCCATGTCAGCCACTTTCTGAAAGGCGTCCAAGAAGGCAGCTGCTGCTACTACTGTGGTCCTAAAATGCAAACAGAGAACAAAAGCATGAGGAATGTCTCATGCAAGTTCATTACAGCTAAAGGGTTAACAGCTCTGCAGGGAACGGAATGCAACCTTCTGGGAGAAACGACTCAACTGGACGTGGACAGGCACGGGCTTGGCAGGCCCCCTTGTTTGCTCAGGAAGCATTTCTCCCCATATTAGCGCACTCTCCCGCAAATACCCAGTGCATTCGGGGCTGGTCAGTAATTGTGGGCAATTCCTCCCATCCTGTTCCACCTGATGACATAATTACTGGGCCAAATTTCACAAAGGAGGAAAGACAGGTGTTTCTAACCTAAAAGAAAAACATCATGGGCGCCTGGGTGGCTCAGTTGGTTAAGCGACTGCCTTCGGCTCAGGTCATGATCCTGGAGTCCCGGGATCGAGTCCCGCATCCGGCTCCCTACTCAGCGAGAAGTCTGCTTCTCCCTCTGACCCTCCCCCCCTCATGCTCTCTCTCTCAAATAAATAAATAAAATCTTAAAAAAAAAAACATCATTAAAAACTAGAAATGGTACAGGTGAAATTCATTTTAGAGTCGGCAAACAGCATCTCTACATGGACTGGGAGATGGAATCTTGGAGAGAGAGCCTCTGCTTCAAATACTTCATATTAGAGTTGGGAAAATGGAGACAAGTTCAGAGTGACTTTTCAAAAATCACCAGTTCGTCTCAGAATTGGAATGGATGTAGCCTGGCAGGATGCACAGTCCCATACTCATCCGCTGCAGGACAAGATCCCAGCCGTGTGACTTTTCCCCCTAAATCCCACTTATAATGAAACAGACTATTTTTTTCAACCTTAGAATGCTATCTCGACTGCATCTTCTGAATTCCTTGAGACTGAGAAGTCACGACAGTCATTTGCTGTCCTAGAAATTATTTTGAGTTCTTCACATCCTCTTGAGAACTCTGTGGTCTACTGGTTCCTAGCACTGTGATCCCAAGATGTCATCCAGTGAAGTTAGATAAGCTCCGCTACCCACGAGGACCTGGGCCTACAACACACAAGCCAGCCCCAGGACTCGCACACATGGACTTCACAATCCAGCGTGGAGCCTGAAGTGCATTTCCAAGTTTCTCACATATGAATCTAGTCTTTGCTCAGCATTCCTAAGAATGCAAAGCTATAGGAAGAACATGAGAATAAGGACTAGAAAGGAAGGACTTCAAGATGGAACTGAAGAAAGGACCCTATAGCTCAGCAACAGTAGCTCTGACATAGAAGGTTCTGGAAGGTGCTGGGAGTGGTCCCCAGGAAAACCTGGGCCACAGTCCCTTAGCGCCAAACTGCAGAATGAGGCCTGATATTATCCGGTAGAGCAAGAAAATATTCTGCTCAAATTAAAAAAAAAAAAAGACACACAGAACAAAACTGAAAGAAAAAAGCCCCTCTGAAGTGTATTTTTCAAAGAGTTGACATCAAATGCAAACCCTGGAAAAGTTAGCTTTATCAAACATCCTGGGATTTATACATAATTCATTCTGATTGACAGTATCTGACACAATGGCTGGACTGATTCTCGTTCAAGTCAATGCTGATCATCCCAATTTAATGAGCCAGCTGTAGAGGTGTCTTGCTACACGGGCTCCCCTGAAAAGGAGGATGGCGGTCAAGTGTGTGGAACCAGGAGCTTTTAACCACTGCCTTCCAGTGAGTCCTATTTCACTGTCTGCTGTTGTCATGAGACATCCTGGTTCTCTGACGGGGCTGAGCCACCATGCATGCGCCCGCAGCACCGAGCAATGATTCAGCGTACACACTGCAAGCTTATTCACCTCTCCTACGGGCTTCTCATCCTTTCTTTACTACCGAAAACTAAACCATGTGCAGGAGGCTCTCAGCTGGGTACTCCTAGTTTGACAAAATAAAGAAATGGTCCCTGTCCTCAGGAGGCCTAAACGTTGTGAATAAAATATATAAAATGTTCTTTGTACCAACGGGGATAAGATTGCTTTAAGTTTTGGGGCGCATGGGTGGCTCAGTTGGTTAAGCGGCTGACTCTTGATTTCAGCTCAGATCATAATCTCAGGGGTCCTGGGATTGAGCCCCCTGTCAGGCCCTGTGCTCAGCGGGGAGTCAGCTTCAGGTCTCTCTCTCCCTCTGCCCCTCCCCCACGCTCTTTCTAAAATAAATAAATAAATCTTTAAAAAAAAAGATTGCTTTAAGTTTCATTGTAACTGATTAGCTGTGCTAAACAAATAATTACTTTAAGTTTTAGCTTCCTCTTTGGTAGAAGGGGAAGAGAGGATCTTCTCCTTGGTCAACCCTGAAAGGCTGCCAGACAGTTAAATGCGGTCAGAAAAGAAATGAGGCAGGGTGGCGGGGGAGGGGTACTCAAATGTTTTTCTGGTTTATTCCAGGAGGGACCTCCTACAGGATGGAGGGTAGGTGTAGCTCCTTGCATTCAGACAGAGGAGGTTGGAGCTGGCCCAACAGAAAACCTTTACAAGTTCCCCCTTTTTTAAAAAGTCTGTTCAAGTTCTTAAGCACCAAAATGGTAAAGGATTTGACAAGCCAAAAAGGGGCTATATGCCTGAGACGACTGTCCATCTGGAAGACCACTCACAGCTTGGGATATCCTAGGTTCATGGGATAGAATTCCCAGGCCCCACGAAGCTGACAGAATGGAAGAGGAAAGATCCTTCCTTCTGGAGTTCCTCTCTCCTGATCTACAGGGGAGCCATGGATGTCCAGTCTTATGGCTACAGCTCCTGACATCCTTGGGTAAAGGACCAAGAGGTTATGTCATCCACGTGGCTTTTTATCCTAGAAAACACCTACCTGCTTTGTCCTCTGGAAAACCACCTCCATACATCCAAACCAACTGATGTCATCCCCCATATGCCATGAATGGGAATCATGAAAATTATTGCTTTTTAAAATGTCCCATCCCAGGGGTGCCTGGGTGGCTCAGATAGTTAAGCGTCTGCCTTCGGCTCAGGTCATGATCCCAAGGTCCTGGGATCGAGCCCCACATCGGGCTCCTGGCTCCGCAAGGAGCCTGCTGCTCCCTCTCCCTCTGCCTCTCTCCCTGCTCATGTTTTCTCTCTGTATCTGTGTCTCAAGTGAATAAATAAAATCTTAAAAATAAAATAAAATGTCCCATCCCTCATGGGGCACCCACCAAGTGGGTAGCCCTTATCCCCACTAAAAGCATATAGCTGTAACAAGAAGATGCGGACAAATTTTCTATTTCATATCAAATGATACATGAGCAAGCACAAGACAAGGCAACAATAGCCCCTTAAAGCCGCTCAGCCCTAGATCTTGTTCTTTTTTAAGCAGCTTCATTGAGACATAATTTATATACCATAAGATTCACCCTTTTTGGGTATGTGATTCAACAATTTTTTTAGTAAAGTTAGAATTTTGCAACCACTACCACAAGCCAATTTTAGAACATTTCCATCACCCCCAAAAGATTTCTCTTGCCCATTTGTACTCAATCTCCTGTTCCTCTCCTAGTCCCAGGCAACACTAACCTATATTTGTCTCTACAGATCTGCATTTTCTAGACATTTCACACACATGGAATTATACAATAGTCAACAGTAAGTTGTAAACTCTTTATAAAGATAGGCAGTGGGCAGAATGGACTATGCAGCCAGACTCAGGTTCAAATCCCTGCTCTGCCATTTACTAGCTGTGTGACATTGGACAAGCTACTTAGCTTCTCGTTGCCTCAGTTTTTTCATCAGTAAATTGAGGATAATAACTGTACTTATCCCTTGGGGCTGTGAGATGTAATTAATTTAACATATGCCTGGCACACAGTGGAGCATTACATAAATGTTGCTCATTATTACCTTACATATGATACCTCATTTGACTCCCAAAATTCCTGTGGAAGTAGAGCAGATAGGAGTTCGGTTTTACGTATGGCAATCGGGGGGGTCAGGACGTAAGGCTAAGAAGTGGCAGTGCTCAAATTAGAACCCACTACATGCTTCTGTATCTGTAATGCTTCCAAAATTAACCTCGATCTGCATCCTGGGTCTGTCCTATTCCATCCTCTGTCTAAGGATGTTGCCATTTTTCTGGGGATGACATGCTTCTCTACTTACCGAAGCTGGGACTGTAGCTTTCCTGCTTTGTTTATGAAATCTTCCCACACTGGATAGCTCCCCTACAACAAAACAAAGTCATCAATCAGTAAGGCACACTGTGATAGACATCTGATTAAGACAATAACAGAACACCCAATTCCAATTATACAGGGAACAATCTATGTGCGCGCTCTTCCTCTGCAGTCTAGGATATGGTGCCCAGATTATATATAAATGCATTGGCTCCGAAATGGGTTTAGAATGTGCTCAGGCCCTGTTATCTTGTAAATACTACAAACGCCAATTTGACAGGTTTGGCAGAATCTAACACATACATGGATAGATCACTTTTTGAGTAGATGGTGGGTCCAAATTCAAGATATGCAGAACATTTAAGGCTCTGACCGGAACCGCCTGACCCTGGCCACGGCTTTTCCCACCCTCATCCCCCAAGGGCAGGGAGGAGGGAACCAGAGTGATTGGCGCTCCTCCCCAGGACAGTGACTGACAGCCACTGGGAAGCATTACTAACCCATCAGAACCTCAAGGTTGAGAAGTTATCGAAGTATAGCCATCCAGCTGATGGCTTGAACCCAGCACCTACACACGACATGACAACATGTGGATCCCCAGCACACTTCAGCTCACAAGGAACTCAACACCCTCCTGTGGGAGCCTCTATCTGCCATCGTGTCCTCTGTGTCCATGCGGCACCGGCTTGAACCTTCTGGGGACCCTCAGGGTGACGCCCAACCCCGCTTCCGTGTGGAAGTCTTTTCAAAGAACTGAGGAAAACCAGCACATTCCTCCAGCTTTCCCTTCTCTCCCCATTTGCAGTTCATGTTCTACCCAGGACCATGTTTCACGCCCCTGCAGCGTCCTGGGGACACTGCAAGGTATCTCTCTCTCCCCTTTTAAGGGCGGTACTCAGACACAAACTCAAAACTGCAGGTGCAATTCTGACCGGGGCAAACCAGAGTGGGGCGTGACACCTTCCCTACACGGACATGTTCAATTGATATTAAGATCAAGGAGCCAAGCAAGAGGGGATGCAAAATAAACCCATAAAAGGAGAAGCCATGGCTAAAGAAGCAGAGTTTGGCACAGAATAGTTTACATACAGAGCTAAGACTCAACACCTGCGGGGTGATACTTGCCGCCTCCTGATTTGGCGGTATAAGGAACGGAGGGAGAAATTCTGCTGAAGTTCATCATTTCATCTTCCACTAATTACAGAAGCCCACCAAAACAGGCTGCGACGGCACCTGAGCCAAAACATAATGATTTCATCTTCCTACTGATTTGAATGGTCTTAGTTTCTTACCCTGGCGTACAGTTGCTCAACCTTGCCACCGACATTTCGGGCCAGACGGTTCTTTTCTGTGGGGGACTGTCCCGTGCACTGTAGGGTGTTCAGCACCATCCCTGACCTCAGCTTCACTAAATGCCAATAATAGGGGCGCCAGGGTGGCTCAGTCGGTTAAATGTCTGACTCTTGATTTCAGCTCAGGTTAGGATCTTAGGGTCCTGGGATCGAGCCCTGCGTCAGGCCCTGCACTCAGTGGGAAGTCTGCTTGAGGATTCTCTCTCTACCCCTCCCCCTGCTTGCAGGAGCCCTCTCTCTTTCTCTAAAATAAATAAATAAATCTTTAGAACAAAGAACCACTGCTTTACAGGGATGCTTGAGCCTCTCCCCCTGCACTGGGCTCCCTGCACAGCGGGGAGTCTCCTTGTCCCTCTCCCCCTGCCCCTCCCTCGGCTCACTCTGTCTCTCTCTAATAAATAAATAAAATCTTTAAAAAATAAAATAAAATAAAGGGATGCCTGAGAAACTAATTTCTTTTGGTCATCTGAAGTTCAGCAATTTCTTCAGTATTATTTCACTTAAGTTTCAATTCTGTTGAAGTAAAATTAAATATATTTTTGTTTTAATCTTATCATAAAAGTGCTTCTTTCTACATTTCTCTAGCTATCAAGTCTGTCTGAAAATGTGCAGAGAGATATCTGGAAAATTGTCTACCAAAGTTCAAATGGCCTATTTCTGGAAGCTGAGATATGGACCAATGTGTTGCGTTCTGGTTTGTATTTTCCTATATGGCCACAGCTGTTTTTTGGTGTGTGTGTGCGCGTGTGTGTTTTAATTAAGGGTCATGTATCATTTTTACGAAAACAATAGTCACTATTTTTTTTAATTTTAAGATCAAACTAGAGGTTCTGGCAATAAGAGCACCATGAAGTTACAAACCTCCCAAAGCCTAAAGTCTGTTTCACAGATGCTGCTAGAGCACATCCATCAACTCTGCATCTGAGACCTGCTTGGCCCAACTGCAGGTCTCGGGATTTATTCCCCCAAGCGACAGTTGGCTCCTATGGGGCGCTAAGCTGCACCAGGCCAGGCATCCTCTCTGACTGGCTCCTGGCAGAGGCCCTTTGGCAGCCACACCTGAGCTCCTGACACCAATATCCACACACAGGTCCTGTCACCACATTGCTAAGCCACACAGCCTCCATCTCGTCTTTGTGCCCCAGTGGGCTGCTTCTACCCAAGAGCATAACTTTATTTTAACTTAGGTTGAATGAATCCTTGACAGCTCAAGCTACCATTCCAGGCCCATCAAGACCTTGTGGGGAAATCCAATTATAACACCTAACGTATTTACCATTTTCTTATCAAGTATGAACACCCTTTCTACATCTATATCCAAGTAATTAAAGGGGCAAGGGCTGAGATCAGAGTTCTCTGGCTGGCCACGAGAGATCTCTGTCCCATGGACATCAGCATACTTAAGAGCACAAGAGTTCAACCAACCAATTACAGCCTCACCTCGCCTTTTCTTCTCTTTCAGATCCCCGAGAAAGTATGAGAAGCTTTTTGAAAAGCCTAAAGATGTTCAGACATACTGACCACCAACTTCCAGCCAAAAGGTACCAGCATCGCTCATCTACACAAAGGAGGCCATGACCACCCCCGGGCCTTCCTATCCCCAGCACCAACCGCTCCCCTGCAGGGGCCCCTGTGAGAAAGTCACGGAGATGATCGAGAAGATTGAAGAAAAAGGTGAGGCACATTCAATGAGAACACGCCAGAAAGACAACAGTTCTGCGCAGGAAGCACACAGTCCTGATTTCTAGCCATGGCTGCGCCAGCCAAGTATTAGGGGAAGTCACTTTATCTCTCAGGGCCTGCTCCTTATAAAGACAAACAATAAAAACAAATAATTCCATCACCATTACTGAACACGGACATCACTGAACACTAAAAGAATGGAGGGAAGGAATAAGGGGATAAGTCACTACTTCTCGGGGTTGGTGGGAGGGATAACGGAGATCAAACCTCAAAAGCGCTCAGTGCAACGCCGGGCACTCTGTCAGTGTCCAATAAACATTGGACAGGAATGACCCAAGGGTCTGCAGGGCCCTGTAATCTCACTCAGGCTACTGGCACAGATGTTAAAGCCTCGAAGTCAGACTGTCTGTCCAGGCTGGAATCCTGCATGCTAAGTGCAGAACCAGCTGCATCTCACAACTAGTTAACCAGCTGGGTGTAGGGAGTCAGACTAGTCTCTGCCGCTCCCCAGCACACGCTAGAAGGAGTACTCAGACCGACATGAATGTGCCTGAAATCAACTGCTTAAAGCACTTAAAAAAACAACTTATCTGCCCCCACCACTTGGGAGCCTCATTTCAGTCTTTACCAAATTAGCAACAAAAGGAGGGTCCCCTCTCTAGTCAAGGGGTGCAGCACACAGCTCTCCGCCCACGAACACCCACTCAGCCAGAAGAAGGCTGCCAAAAGCAGCTCTTTCCTGATTTAATGATATTTGACAGTCTATCAAAGAGTGTCAGGCCCACCTGTTTTAGGCAATATATAATTTAATGGATTCTAAAAAAAAAAAATGAACTTCTAAGAACAGAAGACAAAACCTCCTTGTTGAGAATTTTTTTTTAAAGTGCGTAAATGTTATTAAAATTTAAAGGCAAGGTGATGTTGGATTGCTCTAGATCTAGTTTTTTTCTTTTAAGTTTCTTTCAAGGTTAAAAAAAAAAAGTTTCTACCCACCTGAAAAGTAGCTTTACTACAAAAATTCAAAAGTCTGGAGGAAGTGAGAGGAGAGAGAAGAAACTTGAAGAGTTAAAGGTAACAGAGAAAAAGCCAGGGCTTCTTCTAGACTCTTAAGACCAAGTCAAAGAGAATATACTCAAGTTTCAAAAGAAATCTGCAGATCAAGATGCCATATCCACTGAGAACCCTATCAGAAAACAATCCCAACACAGTCCTTAATTTTCTCATCTGCACCGCCCACCAACGAGTCCCAGAAAGCTCTCCCGCGAGGCCATTGGTTCTGACTGGGCTCCATTCACGTTTGAGGAAATCCCCAGGAACACAGTCCTGGGGCTGTGAAAAAGTCTCCACACAGACCCCTCTGTGGGGTTCACCAGAGAACACATAAAGATTTCACAACTTTCCAGACAGACCAAAATCAAAGAAAATAAGACTCCCGCCAAGCACCCGGGCTCTGCCAAGTCCAAAGTCACAGGCAACGGGTACATGACTCTCGTCTCCCTGGAACCCCTTGGCTTTCTTTGGAGAAGAGGGCAGGTTTTGAACCCCAGGCGATTTGTTGAAAATAAAACTCACACCACACTGGATTCTGAGAGAAAGGAAAAGTCCCCTATTCCAAAATGAGTTTGTTTACAAATATGTAAAGGACTCCCTTGATCAAGTTACAAGACTGCCCCCCTTTCTACAGCAACAGAGGTGGGGCTTCCTTGAAGACAGGCTATTATAGCTCACACCTCTGCACCCACCAGGTGGGGTGCCCACCATGCTCCCCACATCACACACCCCGCCAGTGACGGCTGTTCTCTCTTCTAACCTCCAGGGGCATTCAACAACTAGAAAACCCCTATTCAGCCATAATAAATACAATCTTTAAAAAAAAAAAAAATCCCAAGTCACCCAGGTGACAAGAGAACCTAACTCATAGGTCACATACCTAACAGCAGTCTGGTCCCTTAGGGAGGGGGTAGGTAGTGAAGTCTTTTACTTACTTCTGAGAAAAAAGACCCACCCAATCTC